AGAAGAGAGTAGTGTATAGTAGGAAGGGAGAACGAAGAGAGAGAGAAGAAAGAGAGAGAGAGAGAGAGTCGAGGTAGGGTTGTATCTTGTAGAGAGAGAGGTAGGGTTTGTAGAGAGAAGAAAGTAGGTTGATATGTAGAGAGAGAAGGGATTTAGGGGAAAGAGAACAGAGAGAAGATGCTTGCCAAGCAACGGAGGAAAAGGGAAGGGATTTGAAGCGCATAAAAGTTAATAAATACTCCACTTTTTAATTGTTATTTAATTTTAGAAAATCTTTATAAATAGAGAAATTTACCTCTATCTCATTTAATTGTTATTTAATTTTATAAAATCTTTATAAATAGAGAAATTTACCCTCTATCTCATTTACAAATGGGTGTAGTTTGCATGAGATTGCAACCTTAAACAATTCAATTAAAGCGCACTACTAAATTTTATTGTAAATATAATTTTGATATAAAAATTATTAAGATGGCTTGGTAATCTATCAAGATACATGAAAATTTTGAAAATGGACGGCCTAAATAATGTGTTGCAAGATAAACTATTTTGCGGATTCGAAATCTTGTTTTTTCTTTTTGTATTCGTCCATCTCGATGTTGAGATGATCAATTAGAGGTTTTTCCAACATCTAAAGAACTTTTTATAATGAATTTTTAAGTGCACTTTTAATTTTACATTTTAAGACTGCAATCTTATCAAACTTTTTCCTTTAAAATTTATAATTATCAAAATATTTTCAAATTTTTCTATAATTTATGCATAATTTTTTAACCGTTTATTTTTTTTATTTTTTTTTTCAATTTTACCCTCACTTGAGAGATTTAAAAGGAACCTACTAACTATATATATATATATATATATATATATATATATTAGTGATTATGCAATTTCGGATGTTCAAATTCCCAACTTATACTTAGATTTTGGATTTTGAATATCGGATATTGCTTGGAACCTCCATTACTACGAACTGTGGGATATTAAAAATCTAAGGTCATGACTTTAAATTTTGAACATCGATTTCGTTTTGAGCAAATCACTGTTTTTTTTTCGCGCTAATTTTCTAAGCAGCTCAATGATCAGTTGGAACTTCTGATCAGTTGGAACTTGGAAGTGAAGCAACGATTTTCGCATGAGTTAAAACTTCTATGTACCTATAACTATAAAAGGTATTAACGTAGTACGGGTAATTTATCTATCATTTTTTAGTGGTAATAAACCGAACCAAAAACATAATAAATATTTGAAAAAATATATAATTAAAATTTTTATCTTTGGTATAAAAAGTTCACAATCATCTATAGCCATTTAATGTAAAACCATGTAGTCAGGCTTGTATTATTAACCACGCTAAAATTTTGAGAAAATTTTTCATAAATTTTGTAAAAAAAGATGGCACACTCTTGCTGCCCAATCTAACAGCCGCCACTATTAAACTGTCCTTGTAACCCACTTTATTTTTTTATTTTTTGTGTATGTCGAAGATGAGTACAAAAATTGGATGTTTGAACCAGCACACTTGAAAAAGAAGGGAGAGGTTTCTATGCTTCCCCTATAGCATAGAAGTTCTATCCCTCATTTACCATCCAGCCGTCCAATTTTAACCAAGAGAGTCACTCACCGTTTTATCTTAGATCTGACTTCTCAAAATATTTTATTTTTAGTTTTTTGTTATACAAATTGTATGAATATGAAATTTGGTACGTACCATCGTTTCATTGGGGTGCACCTATAAAAAAAATTAAAAATAATTTTTCGATAAAATATAATGATCAAAATACCCCTTGAAACTTTTAAAAGTATTTTGGTCATTTTATTTTATTGAAAATATTTTTTTTATATTTTTTGCTAGTGCGAGTTTAATAGAGGAATGGATGTCCAAAATTTGGTGTCAAAATAGTTTATAGAAAAAAATTAAAAATACAATAGTATAGAGATGTGACATTGTAATTGGGGCAATTTTAACCCTTAATTTAGAATGGATGGTTCGATAAAGGGGAAAGTATAACTTCTATGTTTTAGGGGAAACATGTAAAGCTTGTCTGAAAAAAAAATTACGATGTTCTAATATTGAAAAACGACCATCTAATTCTTAGAAAAATCAAATCTAAGTATTTAGGAGCTCAAAATTTATTTATTTTTTCCTTTTTGAAAACACTCATTTGTGATTTTAAAATGTATCCCAAAATTTTCAATATAATAGAATGAAACTCATATGAAAACCATAATAAGGGTCGTAACCCACTATTGGTCCGCCTAAGGAGGTCTTGGGAGGGGTGGACAGAAAACGGTCCTAATCTTTAGCTTTTTAACCTTTAGCTTATATATAAAGTAGCCATTCTCAGGATTCGAAGGCACGCTTTTGTGCTGCCTACCCGAGCCTTTTACCCTTACTTGGTGTAAAGGTCCCTTTATGCATGAGCCAAAGGTACGAGACCTTTGAAATCCATGTTCTATGGAAATGTCAAATAAAACCCTAATGATTTTCTCAATAAACTCTCAGCAGGTCTTTTGAGAGTGTTTTGGACCAAAATATCCTTTTTACAGATATGTAAAAAGTAAAAAAATCTTAAAAAAACCAACAAAAAAAATCTATAAAAACTTCAAAACTCCCTCTTTCGAAGCCTTCATTAAATATTTTTGCTGCTCAAAGAGAAAAAAAAATCGATTTTAGTAACTTAAATTTCCCT